AGCTTTACTGGATCCTCCACARGTTTCAGAACTGCAGCCACTAACTCTGTTTTTAATGCCACCATAAAGCTGCACAACACACCTGCTTCTTTGTCTGGACTCCACAGCTCAGATTCTAAGAGAAATGAGAAAAACAGGATCTGATTAACTCCATTTATTCATGCATGAACCAAATCAAAACGATTGAAAAAATGCAGATATGATTGCAAGCGAAGAAAATAATTCTCAAATAATGGCATAAAGGCAGGTCATTGAGTGCTTTCTTGTGGAGGAAAAAAAAGCAATTTTTGCTTTTGTGCACATCTGGCTGTTTAGAACCTAAAACGTTCCAGTTTGAACTGGATGTTAAAAGTCGTATAAAGGCACGCGCTGCACAGCTATACGTTCAGATAAATCATCAAGCTCTTTTCGTTTCTGCTTTRTGAAAGGACTGCAGAAAAGATTGAACGCGTGTTCAGTTTAATATGACATCACTGAGCAGAACGGCAGCTTTTAACTGTGAAATAAGAGCGTAGCAGGCTGATGAATTCAACAGTGAACGGCTGTATTGATTTCCCATATTTAATAAGACTTTATGAATTCAACAGAAAGCAGGAAGCGATCCAGCTAAAGCATCTTTAGGGTCTGTATTGAACCAGAAAGCCCTGATGGAAATACATGTTATTTACATATTAGAATACATTTATGGTCCAGAATCATTTTTAAATGATTTGGATACATTAAATGTGATGCATTTACTGATTGAAATGGCCAAATGTTTTACAAACTGGCTCCATCACCTAAAACAATCAATGTTTTCTAAAAAAAAAAACAAAAAAAAAACTAATTTTTAGTCACCATAATCAAATCTTTTAATGACTTTAGTAAATTTTTATTTTAAAAAGCATTTTCATATATTTCATAACATTTTGCCATTTCAAAAGCACCTCTAATGTAAAATATTTGGGACATTGTATAAAACACTAATAAAACATACTGTTTACTGRGGAGGTAAATAAAGTTTGTTAAAAAAAACCTTTGTGAAATTAAAAAATTTTGGGAACTGAAAATAAATATATAAAACTGAACAAAAAATGTTAAACTGATAAAAAAAAAAGTTCAAAACTACAGGTATCATATAATTACAACTCTGGCAGGCCATTGTATCATATAATTACAACTCTGGCATGTTGTATAATAAAATTAATTAAGTAMGGCAGGTTGTTGTGTCATGCAGTTTAAAATGTGGCAGGTTGTTGTATCATAATTAACAATTTATGGCATATCATGTATCATTTAATAAAAAGTATAGCATGCCATTTTATCATATAATTAAAGCAGTATGGCAGGCCATTCTGCCATATAATTAAAAAATGTGGCAGGTTGTTGTATCATGATTAACTAAGGCAGACCATGTATCGTATAATAAAAAAACAGCATACCATTGTATCATACAATTAAAGTACTATGGCAGGCTGTTGTATCATATAATTAAAAAGAATGGAATACTGTTGTATCATATAATTAATGATGTATGGCAGGCTGTGCATCATATTAGAAATACAGTGTTAGTGTCATATGATTAATGATGTATGGCAGGTCATGTATCATATAATAAAAATACAGCATACCATTTTATCATACAACTGAAGTAGTGTGGCAGGCTGTTGTYTCACATAATTAAAAAGAATGGAATACCGTTGTGTCATAAAATTAACCATGTAAGGCAGGCCATTTTAGCATAGAACTAAAACAATTATTTTCAGTCTCACCGAAGCTAAATGCTTTAAAAGAGCAAACGTTTTCAAAACCTTTCTGGAATCTGTAGAAATCTCTGAGTTTAAAGGAGAAAAGTCAAAATCATCTTTTTCTGTTTTATAGATGAGCTGAATTTATATCAGCCAACAGCTGAGAGGCTCCAGCATGTATCATCCCGTCCTCTGACCATTTAATAAACATCCACGCAAGATTTATCATCGATATCCGCCCAGTCATGAATTTTAGTGGGGGCAGAAAATACAGAAAAAGTTGTATTTTAAATTAAATGAGATATATGGAGCATTTCAGCTGCCACACAGYATCTGCTCCTCATCTCTCTCACACTTTCCTCTTTTTTTTCCTTCCCACACATGGAGGGAAATAATGGGTCTGTGGTCAGGCGGGTGTAGAAATAACAAGGTGGGAGGAGAAGCGTAAAGATGAACAGCTTTGTTGAACGCTACAGAAAATGTTTAATTGGGAAAGTGATGCCAACAGATGTGGAGGGCACATGGAGGTGGATGCTGCTGGAAGCTAAATAAATGCAAACATCCAGAAAACAAGCTTCACTCTTTAAGCTCCTTCAATTGGCAAAACCCCAAATCCATCAGAGCAACTTCAGGTGTGTGTGTGTGTGTGTGTGTGGGGGGGGGGGGGGGGGGGCGCTTCCTAAACCCCACTCAGAACCCACATTTTAGAGATATTCAGAAGCTGTTTCCTCGTTCCGAGTGAGTAATGTGGGGTTCTGCTGGGCTGAAAGGCTTTAAGTGGTGGGAGTTTTTCTTTTTGATAAACGGAGATAATGACTGAATCTGGAAATATGTGGGGACGGAACAACGGCRCGAGCCTTATTTGGCTAAAAGCTACTGTACAGAAAAAATAAATAAAAGACCAGAAGCTTTTGCAGCAGTTTGAAGTGCGGAAACGATGCCAGAACAAAAAAAGGATGAATTCCAACAAGGTTTTTAATTTAAAACATGTGTCAAACTCAAGGCCCGCGGGCCAAATCTGGCCCTCATTAACATTTTCTGCGGCCCTGAAGGCAAGGCTTTAAATGGGAAAAATTATTTCTCTTTATGTCACTGGATTTCATGCTTTTTTTCTCATAACTGGCCAACCTTCAAACCAAGAAAATTAAGTGAATTTCCAGGAAACTTTGACTTTGGCCACAGAGAATCAACTCTAATTATCTTTTTCTGTATCATTTTCTTATTTTAAAGTCAAATATTTGGATTTTTACTGAGTGTTTTCTTTTTTAAAATGATTGGCTACTTTAAGTTACAATGTATCTAAAAGATAAAAGAATTCAATAAAAAGTAAGGCATTTGAAATTAAAGCTAATGATGCATTTCTAAATTAAATCCTTTTTCTCTATCTGTTCTAAATGCTATTAGGAAAAGGTTGTTTGCATTTCTTAAAGTATAATTTGTTATAAAACTTTTTTTAACCATAACTTGGACCATGCTTTGAATTTTAGCCCCCACGTCATCTGTGTTAATAAAATATCTCATGAACCAGTGGGAGAAAATATAAGAACCTTTCAGAAAACAAATCATTGAATTTTCATCAACTGAGGAGTCGAATCAATTCAAGATGGCCGCCACAACCAAGTGACCTTCAAAAACAGTCTTAACACTTTTACAAATATTATAAGGTTTGCTGTGGTAGTAGCTGAGACTGATCCAAACACAAACTGAGCTCTGACAGATTCAACAAAAGAGTCGAGTCTGTTTATCTGTTAGCAAAATATCTTATGAACCATTAGACGTATTTTAATAAATAAAACCTTCAGTAATTGTTGGATATTTCTTGAGGCCAACTCGGTTCAAGATGGCCGCCACAGCCAAAAGACAAAAAGTTCTATAATTAGCCAATTTAGCAGATAATAAGCCAAAAAAAAGTGGCAGTAGCCGAGACTAATTCACAACAGTCTGAGCGTGACGTAAGATTTTATATTTGATTTTTAGAGTTTGACTAAAACAGCAACAACATTCTTAAACAACTCAGAGATGTGGGCCAGACCTGGTGTCAAAGTGGCACTGCTGTAAAGGCAAGTGGTTTGTCAAGTGGATGTGGGTCAGGCCTGGCAATGATGGTGCTGTTATAAGAGGGCACACCATGACTGGACCAGTTGTGGTTTAGTTTGTGTGTCCCTAAATTAGTCAATTCCACAACTGGCCCCGCTGTGGTTTTGTTTTTCGTGGCTTTAAATGGGTCAATGCCACAACTGGCCCTCGAGTTGTTTGGTTTATTTGACCCAAATCTGTCAGTGCCACAACTGGTCCAGTGCTTGTTTGTTTACGTAGCTCTAAATCTGTGAATGCCACAAGTGGTCCAGTTCTGGTTTGGTTTATGTGGCCCCAAATCTGTGAATGTCACAAGTGGTCCAGTTCTAGTTTGGTCTATGTGGCCCCAAATCTGTGAATGTCACAAGTGGTCCAATTCTNCCCAAATCTGTGAATGTCACAAGTGGTCCAATTCTAGTTTGGTCTATGTGGCCCCAAATCTGTGAATGTCACAAGTGGTCCAGTTCTAGTTTGGTTTATGTGGCCCCAAATCTGTGAATGCCACAACTAGCCCAGTTGAGATTTGGTTTATGTGGCCCCAAATTTGTCACTGCCACAAGTGGTCCAGTTCTGGTTTGGTCTATGTGGACCAAATCTATCAATGCAACAACTGGCCCGGCCTGGTTGTCATTTGGTTTATGTGGTGCTGGTCTATGCATGAACCACCTCAGGCAAACCACATCTGGGCCACCAAAGGGCCATCATTCATTACAGTAGCTGGGCCAATTGTTAGTGCCTTGTGTGGGCCAGACCTGGGCCACACACATTTTGCCATGTGGGATAACTTTAAGCATGGAAGAAGGCAGGTAACATGCATTGCTCCAGGGAACGTTTGATCTTTAACGGGTACAGATGTCAAAAAGTCTGGTTTTAATCCAGGTGAGCAGCTCCATTTTAAAACTGATGAAGAGTTTTTGTGTAATTTCTCAGATTATCTCCAGAACAGCTGGACACTGATGATTCTTTGGTGTTAAAAGATTAAAAACTGAAGAGAATAATTAACTAAATCAAAGGATGTGGTTCCAGTGGTTTGTGCGTTCTGGAGCCATGTGGTGCGTCTCAGACCCCCCAGTCTTACTATGCCTGCCTGGATTAGATTATTTGACTCTGGATTAGATTATATGACTCTGGAATACAGATTAATCATCAACCAGGACTGAAGGTGTGAATGAAAAAAATAATCTGAGGATTTCTTACCGCTCTGCGAGTCTGTGAAGATGCTTTAAGACGTAAGACGGTCCTTTTGTTCGGGAGGGGAAGGTCGTTTTTTGGACTCGGTGAGGTCCACCTTCTGGGTCGGAACCAGCGAGCGACAGGGACGTTTCTCTTGATTCGTCTTCAAACGTGCACGCGGTCTTTGTCCATGTGTTCCGGTCCGGATTCGTCGGGTCGAACTATGTGGTCTGCTGCGTAAAACCGGTGCCAAGATTCCTGCGGGCCCGGTCCGTTACAGAGATGCGGGACAATAGTCGGGTCATTCTGGCACGGACCGAACCTCCTCCTGCGCACCCCCCTCACGAAAAAGAAATAAAACTGTTGAATCAGATGATCAGAACCGAACCTTTCTGGTCTCTTCACATCTCCGGGGCTGGCTCGGAAAAGGAGCGATGGATGTGTCTCACGCGCCAGCTGGCTCCGGCGTTGTTCGGGTTCCTCCTCATCTTCATCTTCCTCGTCGAACCGCTGCCGATCTGTTGATCACAGAGGAGGAGGAGGGGGGCGGGTGGTTCCGTGTCCATCCAGCGGTGTCCTCTGTCCTCCTGGTCGTCCGGACCGGGTCTGAGCTGGGGGGACCCCGGTGAGTGACAGCTGGATCCCGTCGACAGCAGAGAGGCTGCGCGCGCCTTTGGCAGTGCGCGCGCCCGACCTGGTCACACATCTCGGGTCCAAAAAAACATCTGCTTCACAGAACCGAAGCTGGAACCTTCAGAACCAGAGTTCCCTGACTGTTTCACTTCATTTAAATCATTTGTGTGTTATATATATA